GAGGTCTCAGCTGTCAGGGAATATCATGGGGGCTATTTAAAACTTGCCACCTAGAAGCATGAAACCAAAAATAAAAGCTGCGGAGGAAAAAATATAGAAACCTGTGAATATTTCTAAATTTTCTTTTTTGATTTTATTTTATTTATTTATTTTAGAGAGTGTGAGCCAGCATGCACACAAGCAGAGGAAGGGGCAGAGGGGGAGAAGGAGGGAGGACTCCACGCTGAGCCCCACGTGGGGATTGTGGGGATCGATCCCACGACCCCAAGATAACAACCTGAGCTGAAACTGAGTCGAATGCTTAACTGACTGAGCTACCCAGGCACCCCTATTTCTAAATTTTCTACGTTACAAAGTGCAAAACAGAATTGAAATGTGAAAAACAAACTGAAAAAAAAAAAAAAAACTTGCACACACATTTCAAATAGTAAATTTATTTATTTTATTTTTAAGTAATCTCTACACCCAACATGGGGCTTGAACTCATAACCCCAAGATCAGGAGTTGCATGCTCCACCAACTGAGCCAGCCAGGTGCCCCATAAATATTCTTTTTTTTTTTTTTTTTTTTTAAGACTTACCCATTTATTTGAGAGAGAGACTGCTGGAACAAGCATGCGGGGGGCGGGGGGCAGAGGGAAAGAATAGAAGAGAAAATAGAATAGAATAGAAGAGAAGAGAAAAGAGCAGAGGCAAACCATTTTTTAAAAGGGAAATTAATTAACTAATTAATTAATTAAAAAGGGAAATAAGTAAAAAGATGTCCAGCTTCACTGATGTCAATTAAGACAAGATATAATTTTTTCACCTCCCAGTGCTTCTTAAATACCCAGTTTTGCCAGGGATGTAAAAATATAAAAGGTATCACATACTAGCTGGTGGGACTATAATTAGATAAACTGGAGGAAAAAATAGCAATACACATCAGAAGCCTTGAAAATCATGCATCCTTTCGTTCAATAATTCCTCTTCAAATAATTTATCTCAAGGAAACAATCATGGGTGTGTTCAAGGTTGCCTACAATAGTAAAAACTTGGAAAACATCTTAACTGTCCAACAATAGGAATGTTATGATCTCCTTTGTGTAAAAAAGCATAATGAATAAACACATAAGCACAGAAGTAGCTGAGTTCCTTAGCAAAGTCTGGCCTGGGCCTTGAGTTTGAGCCATTTGTGGGGTGGAAAGCCTGGTAGCTCCTTGGGAGTTCATTTTTCTGAGCTGGCAGGTGAAGGCAGGAGGAGGGCGGAGTTTGGGGAACCTAGGCTTGGGGGTGGGGAAAGGCAAACAATGGGACTGTTGAATATCAAGAGAGAGGTTTGAAACAAAAGTAGAAAAGCTTTTTTCAAGACAGATTTTGTGAGGTTGGTTTTATTTTGTTTTTTAAAGATTTTATTTATTTTTCAACAGAGAGAGAGGGAACACAAGCAGGGGGAGTGGGAGAGCGAGAAGCAGGCTTCCTGCCGAGCAGGGAGCCTGATGCGGGGCTCGAGCCCAGGACTCTGGGATCATGACCTGAGCCAAAGGCAGACGCTTAACGACTGAGCCACCCAGGCGCCCAAGATTTGGTGAGTTTTTATATCTGGTGGGGAGGGGCTCGGGATTACAAAACAGATATCATAGGTGTGGTGGTGAAAAGTGTCCTCAGTCGGTTAAGCATCAGCCTTCAACTCAGGTCATGGGATCAAGCCCTGCATCCAGCTCCCTCTGCCCCTCCCCCTGCTCATGTTCTTGTGCTCTCTCTCTCAGGTAAATGAATAAGATCTTTTTTTTTAGTTTTATCCTGAAGCATAATGTTTTTTGGTTTTTTTTAAAGATTTTATTTATTTATTTGAGAGAGAGAATAAGCGGGGGGGGGGGGGGGGGCAGCAGGCAGAGGGAGAGGGAGAAGCAGGTTCCCCGCAGAGCAGGGAGCCCTAAGCAGGGCTCGATCCCAGGACCTGCAATCATGACCTGAACAGAAGGCAGACAGACACTTAACAGACTGAGCCACCCAGGCGTCCCAAATGAATAAGATCTTAAAAAAAAAAAACAACAACACAATAGCAAAGAGGCAGTGTGGTTGGAGTACCTTGAGCAAGGAGGAGAGTAGGAGAAAACAAGGTCAATGAAGTAGCTAGGTCAGGTCTTGTAGGGCATTGTGACCATACTAAGGATTTGCCTTTTACTCTGAGATGGAGAGCCATGGGGGGATTTTGAGTAGAGAAAAGACATGACCTAATTTATGCTTTTAAAGGATCACTCTGGAAAGTACAATTTAGAGAACAGACTTGGGAGTCAGGTATAGGGCCTGAAGATAGAAACTGGAGGCTAGTTAGGAGGCTGCAACAATAATCCAGGCAGAAGGGGTGCCTGGGTGACTCAGCTGGTTGAGCATCAGACTCTTGGTTTCAGCTCAGGTCATGATCTCAGGGTCCTAGGATGAAGCCCTGTGTCGGGCTCTGCACTCAGCATGGAGTCTGCTAAAGGTTATCTCTCCCTCTCCCTCTGCTCCCCTCCTGCTTGCTCTCTAATAAATAAATAAAATTAAAAAAAAAAACAAAAACAAAAAACCCAGGCAGAAGGCAGTGGCTAGGACCAGAATGAAAGCAGAGGAGGTGGTAAGAAGGGTTCAGGTACTGGATATATTTGAAGGTACGCTGGTAGGATTTGTTAATGGATGTGGTGAGCATGTGTGTATGTGTGTGTGGGCACTGGGATCCCACCTCATTCCAAGTGCATCAGATTCTCTGCAGGTAATTCATAGTATTTCTTAAAGCCCCCAGGCAAGAGGCGCCTGGCTGGCTCAATCAGTGGAGCATGTGACTCCTGATCTTGGGGTTGTGAACCCCATGTTGGGTGTAGAGGTTACTTAAAAATAAAAAATCTTGGGCGCCTGGGTGGCTCAGTCGTTAGGAGTCTGCCTTCGGCTCAGGTAATGATCCCAGGGTCCTGGGATCGAGCCCCACATCGGGCTCCCTGCTCCGCGGGAAGCCTGCTTCTCCCTCTCCCACTCCCCCTGCTTGTGTTCCCTCTCTCGCTGTGTCTCTCTCTGTCAAATAAATAAATAAAAATCTTTAAAAAAATAAAAATAAATAAAAATCTTAAAAACAACAACAACAACAAAACTCCCCAGGAAATTCTAATGTGCAACCAAGGTTAAGAACCACTGCTCTAAGTTGGTAGGGTTATAGGAAACATTTGTTCTTTTTCTTATCTTTATTTTCTACAGGAAAAATTATAATAAAGAGGGGGTGAAATTAAAAAAAAAAAACCTCTCCCGTCCCCCACCCTGGGATATGAAATATGAATAAGATAATAACCCTCCACTTGCCAAATTCTTACCATCCTTCCATGGTCAGCATAAAAGCCACCTTCTCTCTGGAGTCCCTTGAGCTTCCCCAACTGTCCGTGATGGCTCATTTTTGCCCACTACTGTGGCCCATTGTCCCTCATTTTGGGTGTCCCTCATTAAGGTCCCACTTAGTTCTTCAGTGTTTGTGCTTGGAGTCTTCTTTTTGGCTGGAGGGGGCCTTTCCCGTAAACCCACTCTGGAAACTGTCAAAGCAGGCCCTGAGAGGTTCTATTTGTCTTAAGTCCACAGTTCAGTTGGGAGAAATGGTACAGAAACCCCTGGAACGTGAGATCACGGGGACACAGAGGCAGGCCAAAGGCTGTCCCCAGATCTGGGACAGGCTGTGGCCTCCTCTGAGGCACTAGCCTTCTGGTTCCTCTGTCCTGAATCCCTTACTCTTGGGAGGCAAGGAGTGAACTATTTGTATAAGAGTCAGGCCCTGGAATGTGTCCCAAGTTCTCTGGCACCAGGTGCCCTGTTTGGAGGCCTAATAAAAAGCTGTGAAGAGTGGTGGGAAAGTCTCTTCCTCTCTCACACCTCTCTGCACATACACTATTTAGTATCCAGATTTTTGAAAACTTTTATGTTATAGGGACGCCTGGCTGGCTCAGTCACTGGAGCATGTGACTCTCGATCTTGGGATTGTGAGTTCGAGCCCTATGTTGAGTTTTTTTTAAAAAAACAACAAAAAAGGGATGCCTGGGTGGCTCAGTCGGTTGTCTGCCTTTGGCTCAGGTCATGATCCCAGGGTCCTGGGATTGAGTCCCGCATCGGGCTCCCTGCTCAGTGGGGAGCCTGCTTCTCCCTCTGCCTGTCACTTCCCCTGCTTGTGCTCTCGCTCTCTCTCTGACAAATAAATAAAATCTTTAAAAAAAATAAAGAAACAACACTTTTATATTATGGCTAGTTTCCCATGTCATTAAATATTGTTCAAAAATATAATTCTGATGACCACTTATTAACCATAATTTAATCATTCCCCTGTTGTTCAAAATTTAGATTATTTCTAGCTTTTACTACTATATGTAATACTACCTGGTAACTGATCTAAAAGGAATAATTAGAATGCAGTCCCCAAATTTTGAGACAGCAGCTAAGAGGGAAAAACTCATTTTCCACAGTTTTCCCTACCTTTTTTTTTTTTTTTTGCTTTGGAAAGGCAATCACTGTTGCCAGCATCTGAATAATATTTATCTTTATTATTTTTATCTACATCAGTAGATAGCTTTACAGTTCACAAAACACTTTATCATACATCATCTAGTCAACACAACATGCTATAAAGTAGGTTATTATTCCCATTTTACCTTTGAGGAAATTGAGGCTTAGAAAGGGTATATGACATGTTCAAAGTAATACATTTATTTAGTGTCAGAGCTGGGACTTGGGCACAGGTCCTAGGACTTCCCAAACCATATCCACCACTAAATACAAAGTCATATGCTAGAGGTTGTGGGAGAGAGGTGGACGGTGGCAGAAGAAGGGGGGGTATGCAACAACTCTACAAGGTAGAGTGGTCAGTGCCATCAGTGAAATACAAGCAAAGTGCTATGGACAGAAGACTTGCAAGGACAAAGCAGTTCTCATTTGGGTACACTGCTGAAAGCTTTTCAATCAAAACAACGACTAAAAGTCAGGTCTTCAAGAATAAGTCGGATCTGCATACTCGGAATAATGAGAGCTCTCCAGAGGTTCAGTGAAAGGGAAGGGATAGTATGGCTGGTTGAGAAAAGGCCAGCACAGGGAGGGGGAGGGGGTGGACCTGAATCCAGCTGTAGCCTCAGAGAGGCTAGAGCCAGAAGGGCCTCAGAGATCATCTGTGAGGAAACAGAGACATAGAGCTATCTGCTAAAGGAGGTACCCCACAAGAAAGGGCAGGGTCCTGATTCTACCCTGGTCTCTGGCCTCCTGGACCAGTGCTCTTTTTCTGAAATATCCTTTATCAATTTCTCTCTCTTTTTTTTAAGATTTTATTTATTTATTTGACAGAGACATAGTGAGAGAGGGAACACAAGCAGGGGGAGTGGGAGAGGGAGAAGCAGTCTTCTCGCAGAGAGGGGAGCCTGATGTGGGGCTCGATCCCCGGACCCTGGGACCATGACGTGAACCGAAGGCAGACGCTTAAGGACTGAGCCACCCTGGCACCCCGCCTTTATCAATCTCTTGAACCTAAGGGCCCATTTCCTTGCACTGGTATTTGCTAAGGAGTATGGATCAACAACTAGGGGCAAGATGAGATAACACCAGACCTCCTGAGGGGACAGCCAGGAGGCAACTGCAGTGGCTTGGCAAGGTGACAAATGAGGTCCAAAGAAGGCAGAGGAACAAAGAGGAGGGACTGCAGAAGTAAAGAGTGCAAAGGTTGCACCGTCTGGGCCGGTGGCACCTGATCATATAACGGAGGGAGCATAGGGGAAGGGACTAGACTGGAGTTTCCAGGCCCTGAGAGAGAGCAGCTTCCGTGGTGTGAGAAGGGCAGAACAGCAGGATAGGGCAGAAGTTGGTGCGCAGCCAGAGAGAGCAGGTGCACTTCCAAGAAGTTCTGCGCCAATGCAGAGCGGTCTGCACCTCTGCGGCTGTTTGTGAGATACATATACACCGCTAGAACTCTCCTGGAAAAATACACCAGTGCTATGAGTCGTGGCCTGGCGGTGGGGGTGGGGGAAAGGCGGTTAGCAGACAAGGCTCGGCTGGCTCTCCCCTTCGGATTCCATCTTTGGATTATGAGCCATGGGCATATAAAATCAAACAGCAAACTAACCAGAAACAGTCTCCCAAGTTGTGTAGTAAATGTTAGGAGAGAAACAGGGCAATAACAAGGGAGTGGCAGGTTCTTTTCTCCTGAGAGCACCTTGGCCGGACGAAATTGAAAATCTGAGGGGGAGGGGTTAGGTGGAACAAGGCCCGGAGTGGGAGGAGAGAGCGCCGAGGCCCCGAGGAAGCTCTCGGTGCGAGGGAGAAAGGACCTTGTGTAGCGGCGGGTGGAAATGGTGAGGCGGCGGCGAGGAGAATGGAGAGGGCGCTGCCGGGATTCCATCCCGGCCGAACGCGGGCGTGCACGTAGTGATGTTTACCCCGGTCGGACCTGCAGAATGCTCGTGGGCCTGAGGAGAACGAGCTCTCAGACCTTACTGGTGTGAACGGGAATTGCTCCGGCGTTGGGGGCCGTGTGTTCAAGGCGGCGCCATTCGCGGTGGTGAAACACAGCAAACAAAGGGGAAGGGCATGAACAACGGGACTGTTACATGAGCTGGGGCGCCTTCGCGCCGTGGATTAATATTCGGCCATTTAGTAGAGTGGACGCGGCCGGGACTCGGGGTTTCCGCGGTGTGCTAGAAAAGCAGGATGCCAGTGGCGTAGGTTCTGCGGTGCCATTTTGGAAAACAAAAGGAAACACCGCCTGTGTGCGTGTTGAGTGTGGTTTTACGTGAGCATGGGGAAAAGTACGGAAGTATACACTGGCTGGCTAAAACCGGGATGGTGGAAGAAGAGGAAGAGAGAGGGGGAAATCCTTAATACTTGCAGGGTAAAAGGCGCAAGTGCGAAATAAAAACAAAAAACTACCCAGGGCCCCAGGCTCGGAGGTAAAGACCGCGAAGCGGGGAATATGCCTGCGCAGCCGAGCGGCACCGGAGCCCTGGCACCTCCCGCTTCGCTGCGGGCGGCTGCTTCTAGTTCGTGGACGACCGCGCGGCGTGCGTAGTCGGTGCGGGGTTCCCCCAGCTCTTTGTTAACGGAGGGTGGGGGGATAGCGGGGCCCGCGAGGGGGAAGGCAGCCGGGGACGGCTCTACCGCTGCTCGCCCCGCCGCCCGCCCCGGCCCCGGGCCTGGCCCCAGCTGCTCAGGTCACGTCCCGCCCCGCGGGCCGCACTCCCCGGCCTGGGCCGCCCGCGCGCCCCGCTCTCCGGGGCTGCTGCCGCCGCCGCCCATCCACACAAAGACGCGAGCGCCCGGGCGGCAGCGCAGGGGCCCGGCACGCACCACCTGCGGGTCTCTGTCTGCACCCCCTCTCCCTGACGCCGCCGCGCTCCCGCGGCCCCCACTCGCTTCGTCCCTCCTCAGAGCAGCCATTTGCTCCCCGCCTCCCCCACTCAGCTACGGGTAATCTCTGATCTACTTTCTGCCTCTACGAATTTGCCCATTCTAGATTATCTCATGGAATTGGAATCCTACAATATTTGTCTTTTTTATCAGGCTTATTTTGCTTAACGTAATGTTTACAGGGTTCTTCCATGTCGTAATATGTAGGAGTTTCGTTTTTGTGATTATTGTACATAAAAGGCACATAACATAAAATTTACCACTGTAACCAAATTCAAGTGTACAGTTTAGTAGCCCTAAGTACATTCACATGGTTGTGCAACCATGGCCACTATCGATCTCCAGAATGTTTCCAACATCCCAAACTGAATGTAGCCCTTAAACAATAACTGCCCCCAACCCCTGGAAACCACCATTCTACTTTCTGTCTGTCAATTTGGGGGCATCACCTTTGTATTTGCAAAGGCTGTATTCCTTTAGGAGGTTGCAGGGGCCAAAGCCATGCACTGGAGAATCCCCAGATATGGATGACAAGATGGTAAAACCTGGTCAAATGAGAAAGAGTGGAGGGAACTGAGAATGTTCAAGAAAGTGAGGTCCTGGAATGATTTTAGGGCATGTAAAACAAAACAAAACTGGAGGTTTTAGTTTAACAACAAATTTAAAAGCCAACAGAATGATAACCACGAAGACTCAAGGGACATGAAGACTGCCTTCACCCATGTAAAAAACAGCAGTGTGGGAAAGTGATTAGAACTGTCTTACATTTCCTATTTAAAATGTTCTAGTAGCTACATTAAAAAAAAATAAACACTAAATACTTAGCCCAGTGTATTCAAAATACTGTTTCAACATGTAATCAACTTAAAATTAATGAGATATCTCCCATTCTTTCTTTCATACTTGGTCTTTCAAATCAGGCTAGCCACATTTCAAGTGCTCAATAGCCATTTATCGCTACTGTATTGGACAGTGCAGGGTTGGAACATGGGACATGGGTGTCAGATGGGTTTGGGATCAAGACCCATATTCCATCCCTTACTAGGCTGTGTGATTAGGCAAATTACCCTCTCTTATCTCTGTTTCTTCACTTCTAAAGTGGAACTGACAACAGTACCTACACTGTAAGCTAACTGTGAGGATTAATGGCACCTGAAGCATTTAGTAAATGCTCACTAAATGTTGATGATTATTAGTGGTAAATAAGGTGAATATTAATTTGAAATAATGAGATTTCGGTATTACTGTTAGTATGACCTCATTCATTTCCATCAGATGATGTGCCTTGGAGACATTCCAGGGGGACAAAGTTAAAAGACAATGGACAAACTGGGAAAACCTATTTGCAAACATATAACAAACAAAATGTTATTTTTTTATATGTAGGAAGTGCTTGCAAATAAAATGAGGAATATGAATGGGAAATTCAAAAAAGAAGACAAACATCTGAAGTGAAGACACATTTGAAGTAAGTTCAACTCTCCTAAGAAACACGAGACCATTGCTGAGTAATAAACTGCCAACAACCAGAATTTTGTGGCACCTAATATTGAGGAAAATGTGAAGAGAGCAAATCTCTTTTCAAATTAAGATTTCCTGAAGTTTTGATAGATCGGATTCCAAATTATCAGGATAAACAAGCTCAGCTCTTCCTTCAAGGAGGGTACTGATGTGGGGAAAAAAAGGCAGAAGAAAAATTACTAAATTTCCTTACTACCTACAGCCCATTGACAAGTCCTTGAAACAGGGAGAATGACATTCCTCTAAGGACTCAACTGCCTCAGTGTTAATACTTTGCTAAGGGCAAAAGGCAACCCTAGCCCAACCCTTCCCCACCCCCCCCGCCCCCCAGTATCCTGTAAGACTACTTTAATGTATACAGATTCCTTTGGAAACTTCCTTTATCTCTAAACCCCCCAAGATACGTGTTGGCAATCATCCCCCAAGCATATGGCCCATCAATATACATCGGAAGGGTCTCATGACTAAGGTTTTATTAGACAGTAACACATGACCTTTTCCCAACAACAGCTAGCCCCCTCGAGGTCCTGGAAACCTTGCTTCCAAAATTGCTTAGAGACTTACGCTATCCCTAACCCCTTCCCAACTTCAAAGTATATAATGGGCCACTCCTTGTGACCCTATTGCAGCTCTTTCTGCCCATGGGTCCTGTCCCTGTGCTTTAATAAAATCACCTTTTTGCACCAAAGACATCTCAAGAATTCCTTCCTTGGCCATCGGCTTTGAACCCTAAGGTCGCCTTTCCTACATCAGGTACTACCCAGACAGCCTTTTCTACCCACCATTTTCCTCTTCCCAATGAAGCTGGACAGCCAACACACACCTAGCAAGTTTGATTTTTTCCTTATCACATGTGCATTCACTTCACATTTGCTTTGCTAATAGTCCTTTTGTTGACATTTCACATGGCTTGAAACAGCCCCAACACTGTTCCAAATTTGGGCAGGGCTAACTTACATTCTTACTTAAGCCATGATACCCCCATAATATTCTTAGACTTCTGGCTAACTCCTTTGGGAATGCCTTTTCTGTCAGCAGGGTCAGCTACGTAATTTGTGGGCCCAGTGTGAAATGAAAATGTGGGGCCCCCTTTTTCATAAAAGAAGGGAAGAGGCTTTTCCTTTTCTTCTGCAGTTGTTCTCTCAGTCTCTCATGGTGTTTTTAATCTGCTGTTTATTGTTGTGCTCTCAGGTACAGGGATACTTTAGGGGCAAGTTTGGATCCTCACAGGTGCCAGATGCGGGGGCCCTGCCCTGAGACAGTGTCCATTTCCCAGTCTGGGAAAACTTGATCTGGTGGGGTGGGGGGTGGGGACTAACCAGACAGATCTAAGTCCTTCGTCTTCTGTTGCCTGCATTGTGCTGTACAGTGGTGCCTGGAGACAAAAGATGCCTCACAGTACTGCCATCTCAAAGGGAGGGAGGGTTACAGGGTAACAGGCAACTGAGAGGGAAAAAACCCTTGGTTAGATCAAAATACTATCCCTGCATGTACATCAGTGTCTGAGAGCTGATCCAGTCTTTGTGTGTTAATAAATCAGGTCTTGAGCCAGGCAAGGCTGAGGGCCAGTCACACTAAGCTCTGAGGTGAGTTGACACCATAGGGATCTCCATGGGTGGCCAGCCATTCTTACCACAGTGACCCCATTCTGTCTCCCTGCATGTACTTCTAGAAAGTTCCTAGACTGTTCAGGGGCCTGAATGGGGGAGAGGATGTGGGTAGAGACTAGAGGTGGGGTCTCACCCTATGCAGTTCCCTTCCTTTAAACTCTGTTTTATTGCGCCACAAAATGCCTCTCTTTGGGGGCGCTTCCAGGCCCCTGCCTTGGAGGGAAAACCTACAGCCTTCTATACATTCGGAAAAGGATACTTAACAAGCCAGTGCTAAGGATGCCTTTAGTTAAAGTTCAGGGACCAATCTGCCCCACTCCATGTAAGGCCAGATTCTACATATGGGTATTCCCTTACTCCCCCACTCACTGGAAATCCATCATTAAAAGAAACCAACACAGGGGCACCTGGGTGGCTAAGTCAGTTAAGCACCCAACTCTTGATTCTAGCTCAAGTCATGATCTCAGGACTCTGAGATGGAGCCCCATGTCAGGCTCTGCTCTGGGCGTGGAGCCCGCTTGGGATTCTCTCTCTCCCTCTCCCATTGCCCCTCTGCCACTCATTCTTTAAAAAAAAAAAGAATGAAAAGAAACCAACCAACACAGGTCTTTCACCTTAGTCAGGCAAAGGAGGAGAAATGGTTCTTTCCTGAGTCAGAGGGAAGGGCCCAGCACCCAAAGACTGGTAACTATATGAACCAACAGAGGAGGGCTGGAGCAGGGCGGGAAAACACCAGGCCGGCTCATTCAGTGTCCTCTCCACCAGCAGAGGCCTCGATGTCTCCAGAGCCCTTCTCTTCCCTGGGAGAGTTCCCTTCTGTTTGGTGGTTGTGGTCACCCTCTGCCCAAACCAGGACCATGATCCTATGACCACTTGAGCTTTGTGAAAAAGAAGAGTGAGAAAGCAGAGGCCCTCTTTTGTCGACACTGCCCTTTTCCTGTCAGCAGCATTTATGTTATTAACCAACTTCTTCTGAAAATCTGAAAACCCTCTTTGCCTCCCCCTTTTTTTGGATATATCATCTCTCTTCTGATTCACTCATTTGTTCACCCAATCAGCAAACATTCATTAAGTGTCTCTTGTATGCCAGGCATAGTAATGGATGCAGGGGACACACGGGAAGGACAGCTAGTCTCTGCTTTCAGGTTTGTCACTCACAAAGGATCTTCCCTTTCCCTGGCTACTCCTCCACTTCCCTCACTTCCCCCTTTTCTTCCTCTCAGTCCTCACAGATGATATCTCCCGAGGCTTTTCCTTTGGTCCTTTTCCTTTCTCTTGCATGTCTTCACCCTGTAACTCCAATACCAACACAGTGCAAAACTCCCTTAAATCCTACCCCAGTTTAAAACTTGCTCCTGACCTCTAGAACTGATTTCCCAACAGCTGACCAGTTATCTCTCTCTTTTTAAAAAAGATTTATTTAAGTAATCTCCACACCCAGTGTGGGGCTTGAACTCACAACCCAGAGATCAAGAGTCACATGCTCCACCGAGCCAGCCAGGAATGCCACTAACCAGTTATCTCTACCGTGATGTCCCATTAGTAACTCAGTAAGGTCCAAAAAACCAATTCTTCAGCTTCCCATCACCCCCACCCCATCTTGCCTCACTCCTCCTCCTGACCACCTTATCTTCCTGACTTCAATGCTTACGTCAACAGAAACATTGTTTTCCCAGGTGTTCAGGACAAAAAGTTGGGTGTCTTTGAGTCCTCACCCATGCCTCTGCCCCTCCATTGATAATCAAGAGTCAACTTCTATAGATTTTATAGCCGTGCTGTGTCCCACAAATGTGTCTTCATTTCCATTCTCACCACCACCCTGGCTGAGTCTCTCCTAGACTGCGAAATAGTCTCCTACCTGGTTTCCTTGGTTCTGACTTTTCCGCTTTTTAACGCAGAGCTCCGAACATGCCATTTTTTTGCCTGAAAAGTCTTCAGGGGTTCACCACTGTCACCAGAATAAAATGCAGAATCCCTAACCTGACATCTAAGACTTCATCAAAACAGCCCTGTCCTTTCCCACATTTTCTATTTTTCCTGAACATAGACCCTGAGCTTCAGCCACAGGGCACCACTATATTCTCCTCCTTTGCTCATGCTGTTTGCTCCCTCCACCTACCATGCTTCCCTAACTCCTACTTCTTATGGCCCACATCAAAGCCCAACCCAAATCTTTCCTATTCCACAAAGCCTTTCTCTTCTCCCAAACAGTTGGAATTTTTTTTTCTCTAAAGAACCACAGCCCTTGATGTGTACCTCTCTGAGACCCACATATCTTGTTTTGTCCTTCCTCTCCTAGCGAATTGTAAACTTGAGGGCAGGGCAAGTTGATTTCCTTCCCATGGCTGAATCTCCCAGAGCCTAGCACAGAGGCTTATATAGAGTAACAACAAAATGAAGCAGAAAGAGCAAGAACTTAGAATGAGAAACCCTGGCTACTAACTGTTAAACTTTGGTCGCCTCACCTAAACATTCTCAGCCTGCTTCCCTGTCTGCTATTTCCTACCTCACAAGGTTTATTGTACATCACATATATATGTGAAACTCCTTATAGATAGCAAAAATAACCCACATTAATTTATTTAGTGAATAATATTTAATTCATTGAAAGGGAAAAGGTTGAGGGGAATTATAGAGGGAGTGTGGGAAGATATTCAAGAGTAAGAAAGCACATTGATAAATGCTATCACAGAGGGCTGCTTCTATATTGCCTAAAGAGTCTCCCCTCCAACCATACCTAGTCCTATGATGGAGAGAAAGTAATCCAGCCCACCCTCAGCATTTGCAGGGCTTGGGACAAGAGTCCAAATGGAGGCCCATATATCATAAGGCACATACTTTCGTAACAACGAAATTGCAAAATGTGAAACTATGGTTTTTATATGGCTGAAAGTTTCAAAAAACGCCAAAGTTGACTGAATTTAATCACTTTTACATTATGTCAGGATGCACTGCTGATAGACGCATAATATATAATGAGTTATAGACACACATAATTCTTAAATTATCATACGTGCCGCAAAATTTTTTTTTGTATTCATCTGGCAAAATCTCTAATGATGTGGTAAAATACACATGGATTTTGAAGACTCACTACAAAAAAAAGATCATTAATAATTTTTGTATTGATTACAAAATAATATTTTGGATGCATTGAGTTAAATAAAATATATTATTAAAATTAATTTTACCTATTTTTACTTTATAAGATGTAGCTACTACAAAACACTTAAAATTATATATGTAGCTTGCATTAATTTCTACAGCATAGCACTGACCTAAGGATTAAAAATTAAAATGTGGGGCGCCTGGGTGGCTCAGTTGGTTAAGCAACTGC